TATACATATATACTATCCACGATCCGTCACTTGAGATTGTTTATTTTAGACTTTCAAATATCTAAATCATACATAGATGTGAGGTATATAGAAATGCACATACGCAGTTTTCCCGACAAGGCGTCTGCAGCTGACAGTGGACATGAGACGAGCAGCTGTGGTTTTGGGTACAGCGCTCAGAGCGCGAAGAGATGTCTTGAACATTCTGTGAGTTATTTATGGGTTAGGAAGGTTAATACTACCTTTGCAATGACAAGTATGAAAGGCATTCGACGTTGAAATCAGCATATTTATCCATCTTTTCACTTGTACCTATCGTGGACCGGGGACAGGGTACCGGGGAGGCGGGGACCGCCTCTCTACTCTAGTCGTTGTTATTTATTTATTCATGTGACTATAGCTGCACTACCCGTCAGCATCATCGTGTGTCACGAAGCCAAACAGACTGAAGTGTCACAATATTTACAAAGTAGGAACTGACATTCATCATAGATCATTAAAATGATGAATATGATCCTTAAAATGCAAAGGACAACACTGTCAAGTGTCAACAGTCTCGCACTTTTGAAGTCTATTGGCTCTAAGAGGTTCTGGCGCCGACGGTGCACACATCCAAGAACCGGGTCCGGCTTACTCCTTCCCGACCACTTTTTTTCCAAACCATACAACTTTCCCAATATTTTTATGACTCAAAATTGGATTCCTCGACGGTTTTCAAATTGAGCTCCTTTCATCGAACTGAAAAAGGATAGCCGGTTAGAGATTTTGATATTGGCTTAAAAATTTTATTTTATTTTAACAAAACCTGCCGATTTTTGCTGATGTGACAAAACACTAAACAGACGCTTTTCAGTCAGTTTGTATTTAGGTGTTGTATTTACTCGTGCGTCTCCATACTCATCTTTCTCAGCACTCTCGTTTATTTATAAAGTATATTTATTCAATATGTTGGTCTAAGAATTGATCTATGCTTAGACGATGCAAAGTATCTTCTTCTGCGCGAAGGGTGCAGCAATCACGATCACCCCCTTCGAATATAGATGCACATATTGCAAGAGATAGCGGTCATAAGGAACGAGGCTTGGGTGTGTTCAAGATTTTAATTGGACGCAATCGACAAGTTGGTATATTAAGCGATGAGCGTTGTAAGAGATTCGATCTCAAGGAGAGAGCGCCGAGGGTGATTTGCTTCATTGTTCAAGTCCAAAACAAGGAATTACCGTAGAGGATGCATGATAGAATACAAGATATGTCCATATAGGGTTTCACAGTGAAAAATAGTTTCACAGTAAAACTAAATAAATAATGGGCAGATATACGTGTTGTCCCAAATTTTTGGATGCTGGCTCAAGACCAACATACCTATGTCACTATTACTGAATTAGTTTGATAGCAGTATTCCCTTGCTCTATTATCCGAGTGATCGCTCTCCTATTCACTACATAACTCATATTATTTAAAATCCTATGAATCAAATTCACTCCAATTTCCACTTGTAGAGGTCTATAATATTGGGACAAATCAAATCACAATCGGTAATAGATTGTTGATATTCCTTGTGTTTTAGGGCATCGATTGGCGCGGATAAGGATACTAGTTCGGCCATTGGCACGCGTCAGGTGTCATGCTTGTCCATTGTACTTACAATAATGCCAGACACGACCCAATAGTAAATATGTTTCACAGACACGACCCAATAGTAAATATGTTTCACAGACACGACCTAATAGTAAATATGTTTCACCCTGCTGGTCATAGAATGTACGCATCAATAAATATGTTATCATTGAGAGAATAAGCTCTGTTATGTTTTAGGAGGCTATATTTTTCTTCTTCAGCGCGAGTATACATGCTGAGTTGTTGTTCTGGGTGAATCGCTGTAGAGAGTGCGACCACGACAAAGCTGGTGGTTCCGCAGTGTGGGGCGTGCGAAACGATGAGTTGAACAGGAAAGGATGCTGTCCTTGAATCATTCTAGTGTTATCTATAATACTCATCAATAGAAGAGTCTCTCAATAGCTACAGGCAATGCACCTTGTCAATCGGCAGGGACATTTCAGACTTGCAACGCACAGTCGTGTTCAGAAAGACATTCCGTGTACTGCAATTATGGACTATACTTTATCACATAGCCGGAAGCTCGTGACATTTGCATCACTGAATCGAGAGACTCGGCAGCCAAGTTATTCAGACATCCTATAATTGACACTACAGTTGGAAGTTTAACTAAACAGCTATAACAACAGGCGATTTCGCTATTGTTGTAGTTCCCGGCTGGAGCGCTACACTACTGACCGTTTAGCCGCTTCAAATTCTGAAGGTTTCAGAATTTTTCACCTCCAAATAGCTTTGATCTCGTCTGCATCCTACAACCGTCGCACATGTTCCCGTGACCGTAACGTGCTTACGTGCACACACCTTGGGACTTGGGTCCTTAAGCCCTCAAGTACTCAATATCCAAACTTCGGCTCAGGACCTCAGTCCCACACACGTTGCTCTGGGAACGTGCATGACCGCGTATCTTGGTAAATGCCTTTACCTGTCTGAGTGGTCCTGGACTCTTGGTCGGACAGACTTCATCTGAGCGTCCAGCTTCTATTTATTTTGTTCGTGTTGTAATGTTGCAGGTCATGTCAATAACTACTGTAGATCTTAATACAATGTAGAGAGCGTGGTCCAAGGTTGGACAGACACCTGCAAGTACTCTAAAGGCTAAATACTCAAATATACACGGACAAAAAGGCGTCCATCCGAAAATCCGAAATGGGAACGGCATAAATAGTTAAATACAGCCATACACACCTAATTTCTTGATATTGTTCCGCACCTGCAACTACTCAAAGTACTCAAAAATACACGGACAAATGGCGTCCATTCGAAATATGAACGGCATGCAGCCATACACACCTAATTTTCTCTCTCGTGTTTCGCGTTCTGAGTACTCATGAAGTCGTGGAAATATGCACAGTACAAATGTGTATCGTGACTTCGTGACTCGTGATGCACATGTGTATGTATGTATGTACTATACACTACACTATGCAGTATACACACCACCGTTTGTAGAGAGTAATAGAGAATGCAGTCTGTTCACAAGAAGGCCAGGTCCTCTCCCTCTTGTCTTCCAGGAGCGAAAAGGGAAGTATAAAATAGGAGGAACGTGTGTCACCAGATTCATTCCAAAACAAATCTGTTCTAGAGCACAGTCACTGAGACTTCGAATACATATATAAACACTTCAAAATGTTCGCATCAACTGTTTTCAAGGTACTTGCCCTGTGCTTGGCGGTCGCCGGAATTGCGACTGTAACGGCCGAGGATATCGACTCGAGCTATGTCAGCTGGTGTGTATATTCGGATAGCAGTTGCAGCCCTGAGTACGAAATCGAGTGCACCATGGTGCCCGTAGACGGCAGCTGCGACGTCCACCACTTCGACCACCACTCGTTTGGCCTGCACTACACCAACACAACCGACATCAACATCCAATTCTACTTCGACGACAACTGTGCCGGCGGCCACAGCAACTTCACCATCGAGACGCACTCGTGCGTGCACTACTTTGACTTCAAAGACCCCCCAAACTTTGTGTACCTGGCCCACGTCAACGAGGCAGTCGCAGAGACCCTGCAGCAAGTAGCTGAGAACGAGTCTGACACAGACTCAGCGCTGGCCGTAGCCATCAGTGCGTTGGTTGTGGCCATCGCATTTGTGGTCGTGGGTTCGGTCGCTCTGGTGTATGTTGTACGCACCGTCAGACGTAATCAGACCCAAGACTTCGGCGGAGATATCAAGCGATCCATCACATCTCCGTCTGATACGCAGGTGTCTAACATGCGCACCTTGGAGTGAAATGCTAGTACTAGCAACTTTACATGAGATAAACTAGTACTGGCAACTTTACAGGAAGATGCTAGACGCTATACAACAGACCGCCTGATATGTGAGCGTACTGCTGCTGATATGTCAGTGCCGGATCATAACACGGGGGGTCTTGGGGGTGGGGTAATGTTTGAGTGCGATGAAAACAATATAATAAAATTAGTATAAGGGAAATCTGAAGCAGCTATGTATGTGTTTATGATTGTTATAAAAATCGGCATACTTCAATATGAGGGTTACAATCGAGTCATATTTGCCATGTATTGCATTGTACGTATGTAGTATGTATGTATATGTGTATTTATGGGTTTCTGTGCGTGTATATCTTTGACATTTTGTATGTGCCGTATGTATGTATTTATATAGGCATGCATGTATGTATAGGTATGTATGTATGTACGTATGTAAGTATGTATTATATATGTATAGCTTTTGGTATGTATGTATGTATGTATGTACGAATTTATGTTTTTTCAATATGTGTAATGTGTATTTTTATTCATGTATGTATGTATGCATGTATGTACTTATGTGTGTATGTATATAAGTATTATGCATGTATGGCTTTTGGTATGTATGTATGTATGTATGTATGTATAAATGTATGTATTTATGAATGTAAGTATGTAAGTATGTATACATTTATGGGTTTTAGTATGTGTATGTATGTCTGGCTTTTAGTATGTGTTGCATGTATTTATGGATGTATGGATCTATGCATGTATGTATTTTGGTATGTATGATATACTTACGTACGTACGTATGTATGTATGTATGTATGTATGTATGTGTATGGATTTTAGTACATATCTATGTATATAGTTGATTATCTGT